CAGTAAGAGGTCTGCATTATCTGCGCAGCAACATGCTTCTACTCCTGTTAGAATCCGCATGAGACGACCTTTCCTTTCGAATTTTGTTTTGCACGCGCTACTTTTTTGTCTGTTACTGTTAGCATGATATTTCTGTATAAGTGTAACCTTGAATCGTGCTGGCCTCCGCAACATGCTGGTGAGTGCTAGTTATTTCCCATTTCGCACCAATACATTCGCATTCGTGTGAAGAGCCACACCCATGTGATCCTAGGGCATGCCTTCAGAAAAAAATGAAGAGCCATGGCAATTTTCACAGCTTCCTAGATCCTCAGTTGATGGTCGGAAAGATTCCAAATTCTGTTGTAGTCATGTACGTGATTATAAGTAATTTATTAATTTATTTATTTATTACTATGCACTCGTAGGTGCGCTACAATAATTAGTCAGAAACCAAATCGTTATAAATCGGAAACATCGACTTAAAGTAAACACAATTGAGCAGTATTTTACCCACAAGCGGAAAGTTCACAGACACATATTATTCGAAATCGTTGATGCCTAATAAGGCAAGTAAGTCAATGTTCTTTAATTTTTTTCTGAACGCATTGGTGTTTTGTGCCAGTTGTATGTCTGAATCACTAAGAGCAAGAATAATTTTTTCCTGACGGAAATGTTCAGTCGAAAATTTTAAGCGCAAGCAAAAGCCGTACAGTTGAGCAAATCTTACTGCAGCGACTTCGCATAACAACTACTAATGACTGAACGTGAAGATTTTGAAAACTCGAAAATAGAATGTGTACCAACCAGATTCCCCTTGTTGCCATGCAATCAAAATTGTGAACTTTTACAGGCCCTTAGATTACGGTTTATTGCATGATCTAAATGGAGAGGCAAGGTGGAGGGAACACAAAAAGCTTTATTCACTACATTATGGATGAATTAATCTCATCTTAATCATTGAAACTCGAATCCAGTGCTTCCAAATGAATATAGAAGACACCACTCGACCTATAAGATGAACTCTTAGTGCCCACGTGGGCTACATCAGAAGATTCTGCCACGGGAACATTCTGTGATGTTCGAGCTCAACAAGTTCTGCGAATGATCGAGTACCACCTCGACGCTGTCTTAGTCCACTATTAGCTAATCTAACCCTTTCCGTCTTAGAATACAAGGTATAAGTTTGATTAAAAAAAGTACTTCATTTCATAGATATATGGATGATTTAGTAATACATAACCAAACCGAGGATGACATTGACATACAGCTAGCAGAAGTGTATATGAATACACTTGAATTGAAGAAAACACATTTAAGTGAAACATCTAGTAATTATCTGGATCTAACAATTAGTATAATAAATGACAGAGTTATAACTAGATTGTATAACAAAACGGATGATTTTCAGTTCAAGGTTATTAGATTCCCACATAATGACACAAATATCTCCATAAACAATAAAGGCTCCGTTATATACACTGAAACACTTAGAATAGCTAACACTTGTTCCGTATTTGACACATTTACTGATAAACTAACAGAGTTCATAAGAGTGTTACTAGGAAATGGTTACCATGAGAACTTTATTATAACTAATATAGTTAAGTGCATTTATAAAAATAAGTTTATATGTTACAAATTTTCAATTGCTAATAATTATAAAAATATTAGTAAATTAGTGGAAGGATTACTCAGCCGCTGAACTACTGCCTAATTGACAGTGGAACAATTATATACCATTTCCACTGCAAAGTGGACACTATTCAAATAACTCAGGACTTTTCCATTTCGACCCGGCTTTTTTCAATTGTTTAGGACACTTTTCAAAGCATCGTGAGGATTTTCCAAGCCAAACTGGACACGTCTTCGAAAAAGTCGAAGTATATTTTTCGATAATATTTAATTAAAAGTTGGCGGATGTGCTAGTATCTTCAAATCCTGAAACAAAAGTTGAAAATCCATGTAATGAAAGGCCAATTAGTTTTGTATAGAGCGTGTTATCAGGCCTTTTTATCCAGCAAATCTTGTCAAGGAGATCATCTTCCCGACTCTTTCACTACCTTTGCTATACGACTTCTTGTACTTTCCGCCATGTTTTCTGTCTCAAATCGCTACGCATATACTGGCAAACGAAAACGCCAAACGTGGCCAGGAGGTAGGCGTGCGAAGTCAATGGACACAGACCAGCTCTCTTGGTGAGAGAAGGCTGAAAAGAGCAGAAACTCGATTGACTGGAATAAGCGGTCCTTTTAAAATATGATTTTCTTCTATCGCTTCCGCTCCGTGTCTGTGACACGAAGGAGAGAAAGAAAGAAGAAGAAAGAAAGTGTAGAAAGTGCAAAGCGTAAAATAGAGGATGAAGTAGAACTCTGTCAAGTACGTCATCATTGTGATGGTAAATTTAACTGCCTTGGCAATTGTACAATT